CTTGCACTTGCACATTTAACAAACAAAAAACCGATCGAGTACTCTAAGCAGAACAGCGAGAAGAGTGGTGTCAGGAAGCCTCACACAGGAAGTCCTGTGAAGACGGAGCGAACACTGTCCACTGTGTCAAACGCTGCTCAGAAGGCAGGCAGACAAGAACAAAGCACTGACCTCTGGCCCAGGCAGCACGGAGGTCACCGGCGCTGTGAAAACGTTTCTTCCCCGAGTGACTCTGAATATACTCAATCACCTCTCTGAACATCAATTCCTCGTGGGCAATGGCATGAACCCACCAAGCAGACTGACTACACAAGTGACAGGCCTAGCCCACCGGGAGGCAGGCGGCAATGTCAGTCTCGGTCAAACCTCCTGACTGGGGCCCTGATCACAGCGCTGCTTGGCAAGGCCAGTGTTTACCATCAAATGCTCTTTGCTGTTTAAAAGTCTACTTCCACTTTCACTCCAAACGGTCATAGCTAGAACATCTGCGTTACTCGAAAGGGAAGAGCACGCCTGAGAGGAGGCTCGCACCTTCATGAACACCTTCATCAGCACCCGGAAGTGCGTGCTGTCGGCACCACTGAGTATGATCTCGAAGAGCCCGATGAGCAAGCGCAGGTAGTCTCTGCCGTCTTCCTCCAGGTGGTCAGGGTTCCACCACACGCCACCTACATGTATGTGACGAAAAAGACTGTGCGTGACTGATGTGAACGCTGCTGGGCCTTTTCACTCAGCACAAGCCCAGTCTTGGATCCAAGAATTCCGTTCCCCGGGGTATCACATTCAAAAGATTCCCACCTTGTCCTACCTTTAGGAAAGGATTTAGGCGCCTTCAGTGCATGAATAAAGTTTTTCAGCGAGAACAGGAGTAACACCGAGTCCTCCACGGCAATCCTCTGGGCAGTGCGGACCTGCTGGATGTAATGTGCCCACAGCTGCACTGGCATCCCTCTGTCCAGCACCAGCTCAGCATGCCATTCCGGGGGCACTTCCTGAAATGGCAAGGAAGCAAAGACAGCAGATTTAAAGCGGCCCACAGGTGGACTGCAATGATGTATGCGGCTGAATAATATGGGAACTTCGGTCTGTATCTGAATTTAGGTGAGGATAACTTGAATCAGGTTTTTAAAGAGGTCTACATGTTCACAAGACAGAAATGCTTTAACCATGGCCTCACTTTACCTACGTTTTCTTTTTTTTTTTTTTAATATATTTTATTGATTTTTTTACAGAGAGGAAGGGAGAAGGATAGAGTTAGAAACATCGATGAGAGAGAAACATCGATTCAGCTGCCTCCTGCACACCCCCTACTGGGGATGTGTCGGCAACCAAGGTACATGCCCTTGACCGGAATCGAACCTGGGACCCTTCAGTCCGCAGGCCGACACTCTATCCACTGAGCCAAACCGGCCAGGGCTACCTAGGTTTTCTTAAAGTGCCAGCTCTAAAAACAAACGTGGTCTATATAAATTGTGTTTATGAAACGGCACCTCTCTAAACAGAAAGAGGAGTTGCATTCCCAGGAGATCCGTAAATGGACTGTTCTCCTTTCTCAGTTTTACTGCCAACCTGAAGACGATACTTGGTAATATCTCCACCCCTGCAGGTGATACTAAACAAGTACCAAACTGCCACAGTCTTTAGGAATTATACTGTACATGCCAAGAGGAGGCAGGAAAAAAGGTGCAGGAAAATGATAAGACGCTGCACACAGGCGCGTGCAGAGTAGTAACTTGGACAAGAACAGTCCGAAGCCAGACTCACATGGTACAGTCGTCAGTGAATTCTTGGCTCAATGGGCTGCCACGGCCAGAAGGTGCTCATGACTCGTAGGAAGGGGATTAAATATGTAATAGAGAATCACCGTCCCTACATATATCGAAAACACTCAACTTGCCCACCCTTTTGCACTGAGAACAAATACAGTCCAGGCCACAGCACTTTTACAAAAGATAACGAAGAAGTTAAAAAGGGCCTACCTGGGCTAACTCTTTAAAAAGTAAAGATTTATTCCTTTACAGTTTACATAACTTTAGCTATCTGTGGCCATAACCAGAACTTACAAAATCCTAAGGGTACCTGTCAATGTGAAAAAGATGTAATTCGTTTGGAGGACAATTAACAAAATACTATTATATAGGGAAGGTATTATTTTTTGTTGTTGTTGTTTTGTGCTTTGTTTTTATTTGCTTTTTTTTTGGCGACTGTCTGAAATTTCTATAACCTTGCTCCGGATGCAGCAGGGCAAGGCCTCAAACCGTTCCAAAATGTTCTAGCAAGCACTGTAGGAATGCACAGGGTCACCCCAGACCCAAGCACGCTGGAGGCTTGCAGCCTAGGGCAGATAGCAAAAGAAACAATCTATCACCTCAAGATGTGGTATTAAGTAAAGATATAAACTAGTAACTTAGGAACACTCAGAGACAGCAGTAGGCCTGTGAGAGCCAAGTCTAACATAACACAGAAGGTCTATTTCCAGTAAACGGAGCACCAGGAGTCTTTTGTTCAAGCACGGACACATCCAGTGAATTCTCCACCACTAAAGGCAGTCAGGTGCAGCTTAACTAACTACCCAGTAAAGATGACAGACACAACACTGTGACCTTGAAATCTAGAATTTTCTGCAAAAGGAAGAAAGCACCGGATCCACTCTCTACGGCTGCCAAGGCTGCTCCACATTCTCTCCAGCCCCGAGCAGCCAGCACCTGGGCCTCCCGACGGCCAGGCCACTGGCCGCTCCACTCATCACGCAGCTTCCCAGCACGGCGCCTCCTTACCACTGCAGTCATGGCACTTTCCAGCTTCTTTACTTTTTTCTGCAGCAAACTGAAGGCTCTTATCGCAAATGGAAAGTGAGTTCCTTTTGAAGATGAACAGCAAGAGACGAGCACGCCCGTGACCACGTGAAAAGTCACTTTCTGCTTCAGGCTAAAGCACTCCTTTTCCGCAACGCTGATTAAATCCTCCACCTTCGAAAACAGACAGGGTCCATGACTGGTCGCTCTTGGTTTGCGCCAATTTGCTCTCCCTAAGGCCTACCTAGGTATTGTGTTTTGCATGTCAAGTCAGATGACAAACATAAAACATGAAAATAGTAGTAAGTACTAATTTCTAAGTAATTACAAAAATAATAAATTTCAGAAATTATAATGAACATAACTGTACTTGCCAATTGGATAAATGTTTTTAAATCACAAACCCAAATACCTTTAAAAGGGTATATTTTCTACATCAAAAGAAATTTTCTCCTCCTTTAGATATTTTGCTATTTTAACAAAAATATAACTTTAATATTTTAAATGAGGGGGGGGGAAGGAAGTGAAAAAGTATATATTATTCTTTCTGGCCCAATATGGAATCACAATGAAATAAATTAATAAAATGTTAAGGATTTTTAAAATCTGCAGAATATACGATACAACACTATATATGCCTAGAGCAAAACAAATTACTCAAGAATGCAAAAGTTATATTAATAAAATAAATTTAAAAAAGAAGAATCCAGTAAAGCAAATACGAAAAATCAAGTAAGATTACAAGAATGAAATCTGGGCGATGAACTTCAGCAGCAGACATACCAGCTTTAACACTGAAGAAGGATCCTCTGAATTTATATTGTCAGCCAACAACTCAATCATCTTCTGATTTGCTATACCAATTAGTTTGCCGGATTTTGTGCTTTTAATCACATTTTCAAGAGCTGTAAAAAAAAAAAAAATTTAAACACAGGGCTCTTATGCCACCTAAAGAATCATGTAGAGTTAAGGAACCTAAGGAAAAATTTTACAATTTTCCTATAAAAGGTTTGCTTTTTATTTTTCCTTTTACACAATTCTGAACTTGTGAGTCAGTTTCTTTCTCATTTTATATATTTTATCTTAGCAAAAAAATTTTAATCTTGCTGGCATACAATAAACATGATTTCAAATAACAAGTATAGCCAATTTTTAAGTGTACTTATCTTCTTTTTAAAGTGTTATCTGTTCATTTTTTCTAAAAAGCGACTGAATTTCTCACCTGCTTTCCAGCCTCTTAGCACAGGGTGCAGAGAGCAAATTCCTGACTTGGATAAATAAATAGCGAGTTTCGTCTCGGCCGACTCCAGGTCATCACTGTCTATGACCATGAATGGAAGCAGATGCACCACCACCTGGTTTGCCAACTCATCGTTTCCACTCAGCATCTCTTCTTTAATCAGTATGTCGGCTGCCGCCTCAAGGACCTCATACCTAAAACATAAAAGCACGTTTGGCTCAGACACACCTCAGAGACTTCAATTCAGCAAAAAATCATTACATTGTTCCAGCTCCAGTGACATCCTCGTCTCCGCATTAAATACGTTATTCAGGAACACCAGGATGAGCACTTAAAATCCAGGCTAATAAAGGAATTATTTGGGACAGTAATTTTAAACTAACTGTCAAGCCTTTTTTTTTTTTTGAGAAATCACATTAGGTTAATATAGATAAAACTTATCACAATATATATATCTTATCTCCACTAGAAATCAGAAATTCATTCATGAGTTCAAAAATTCTCTGAACACATACTACGTGCTAAGAATTAAATACAATACCCTGCAAATACGTTCTCTTTCTCTAAGGAGCTTAGTGGTTGAGCATCAAAGCATGAACCAGAGGTCACAGTTCCATTCCCAGTCAGGGCACATGCCCGGGTTGTGGGCTCAATCACTAGTAGGGGGCATGCAGGAGGCAGCCAATGATTCTCTCTCATCACTGATGTTTCTATCTCTCCTTCCCTGTCCCTTCCTCTCTGAAATCAATAAAAATATATTTAAAAAAGAATTTCACCAACTCAAAAGTGTATGAGGAGAAAGAAATACATACCATGCTCTATTTTTTGAAAGTTCTGCTCTTTGAAAGAGATTCAGAAGATTTGAAACAGTCACTTCTGGACTAAAGTGGCTCTTGAAAATCTAGGGAA